TCCTCTCGATTACCTTATATGTCTGGTGCATGTGAAGTAATTGACAATAAAGCTGACTTTGACTTTTGACTTTGACTACACGCATTGACATACGACCAACCCTATGATCCCCCCAGGCTTACACCTGATGGAGATAACAAGAGACCAGTAAGCACATGTTGTATATTTTACACAACTTGTCATTACTGAATTCAAAAGGAGATGAGAATGATTGTTGCATGGGTTGCAACCTAACTTACCAAGTATTACTACAGCATCTGTTTTCCACCAAGAAAAGCCTTCAGTGCCGTTCTTTGCTCTTTTTTCAGTTAACTCTCCAGTTCTTATATAACTGATGCTAGCAGCATCTACGCTAACCTCTTCTCGCCATTGTTGTTTTTGTCATCTTTCACGCACATCGCCACAGATGGACCTGATGCCTCTTGTGCCACGTGCACTCCATTTCAGCTGGTTTTAGCACCATCAGTGACACATAATGAACAGCACACCGACATGACCAAAATCAACACAGCCCAGAACACCTGCTGTGACATCACTGATTGGGGTCGGGCCCTAATCAAATAGAGCAGGGTCCCGTTCTTCTTAAATGGATGATTGAACTTGATTAAACTGTTGATATGACACAGGATGGATTTTGTTTAATGTTTAATAGGAGTTAAGGGCAAAAACTCCTCAAGACCAATTTAGTGACTTCAACAAATTCTAGGTAAATTGTTCAAGTGAGATTGACAGAGCGTTTGGTAGGTTTCATTGTGTACTAATAACATGTTGAAGGTGGTTTCTCAGGGTTAGGGTTAGTCATCAGTCACAGTGCCATGTTGACACATGAGTTCAGTTATATGAGTACTGACCATAGTTTTGAATCCTTTGTCATGCTGCTGAAATTTCAAAATAAAAGTGCACTGCTATCACTTCATCTAAGGTTAATACATCAAACCTGCATTTGAGGAACCAAGTCAGCTGCATGAGAATTACAAGCAGGGTACAAAATAAGCAACAGCTACCAACCAGATATTGATAGAATATGCAACTTGGTGGTAGATCTGCTTCACTCACTAGCCAAAAAACTGGAATTTATTGAGTGGCTGGTAAAATTTTAACATTCACTAGCCATTTGGCTGGTGGACTAAAAAAGTTAATTTTGCACCCCGATTCTAAAGATCTTGTTTTATGGCTCACATGACAAAGCAGTTTTCTGTTATTTAGCCTTTTAAAAAGGTGCTTCCTCTTATATTTCACTGTCAGAAAATGCAATTATTCATGTGAGAAAAGTTGTAAAATACATTCCGCAATATCTTCTGGGTATGTATATTTTCTAATTACATTCCCTGTTTTCTTGCCATTCCTCTGTGATTGCAGGGGGCCTGGACTGTATAAACGTGCATTATGTGCAACATTTTCACATTTATTTAAATGCTGGGTTCTTAAGCTGACATGAGAGATGCACATGCAAATGCGCACGGCCACATTCATTATCCCCCACCTTGGCAGCTGGTGCATTCGCAGCTGTGTATGACGGGCAGGACGACCGGCTCGTTCTCTCCGCTCTCACACTGCAGGCTGAGGAACCGGACTGGGTTGGTCGGGTCCAAACGGTAACTACAGCACTCGCAAACTGACTGGAGGTACGGCTCCTGTAGAGGAGAGATAATGAAATGATGGTAGAGGATGAGTGAAGCAAAAAGAGGAGAAGAGGTGAAAGAAGAGCCAGAGGTATAAGTGGAGTGAGCCAATTAGGAAATTGGAATATGATGAGGAGAGGGTGATGGGTGTCGAGGAGATGAAGGAGAGAATTTCAGAAGATAGGGGAGAGGGGACAGGAGGATAGTTGAGAATAGAGAGATGATGTGTGAAAGAGGAGGAAATATTATGTGTCAAGGAAGTGAGGGAAAAAGGAGGATAAGTTTAAAGGTGGTGAAAGGCAGGAGGAGAGAAGAGACAGAGGGAGAAATTAGAACCTCTTAACATGAGACAGTATAAACGAGAGTACAGAACATTTATATACTATACTTTATCATGTGGTGCATCTGAAAATATAAAATCACACCAGACACTAGTGTAAAGCTCCACTCAGAATATATACTATTTTAACAACGAATCCAATCAAGATGTGTGATGTGAAAGGGGTCGCTAGCACTGATGAAACCACAGACAATTACTATCAAACTATGCAGCTCCACACAGCTATTTAGCCTTTTAGCAGTCTTCATTTTCAAGCAAACTCCACTCTCATGAATCTCATTTCAGTTAGCTGTAGCAAACAAGCTCTGATAAGCCCACTGTACACTGCCCCTTACCAATCGGCAGACATTTTCACCATATAAAGTTAGATAGCCTACAGTGGGTTTATCAGAACTTTTACAGTAAAGTCAGCTGCAGCCCAAAACAATGCTGCTGTGAACGAAAACGTTAAAGCTGTGGGTCGTAAAAAAACAAAACAAGCTGAAAGGTGTTAAAAATATATAAATATATGAACATTATTATTATTATCTAAAAAAATAATAATAATAATAATAATAATACCTTTTACTTATAGAGTGCCTTACAAGACACTCAGTTAACTTGACAAATGACATTAGTAAAAACAAGAATATAGAGAGCTAAAACACAATACAAGCACAAATTTAGGGACAGGGTAATTCAGCATTTTTTGTATCCGCTGAAATACAAAAACCCAGCCTTGGTGTTTTGCATGATAGAAGGCAGCTCCTTGGAAGTACTGTGTGTGTTCAATGTGTCCAATTAGTGGAGGCGAAGAGGAGGAGAGATTGTGGAAAAGCACAATGGATGGTAGCAAAGAATGATAGATAATAGGGGGAGAAGGAGGTGACAGGAGGGAGGGAGTCCAGGATCAAAAACTCAAAAGCACCTTCAACTTCTAAGTAGCAGTTATTAGTGCTTCACACACTTTGAAAAGTCCACAGTGTGTGTGTGCATATGAGTGTGTACTTCAGCTGGTGGTGTGAAAGAGCATTTGATACCTGTGAATGCATTCCTTCTTCTTCCAGTCCTGCTGATCAATGAAAAGGGAACTTCTCTGTGCTGCCTAGTCACCGGTTACCATCCCTGGTTGCCACGGTAACAGGAGGTAATGACACATTTGGCTGAGCTGATGTTTATTTTTACTAATCTGACTGACTCTATTTTTACAGTGGAGATGTATGGATGCCAAGAAGGAACAAAGTCACCATGGTGATGAAGTGATGAGCTCGCTGTGTTGCAAGATAAATAAAAAAAGACAACAAGTGAGCAAAGAATCTCTAACAGACTTTACATGTGACCCCTGCACAAGACTCCTATTCAAAACCTCTATATTTAGATCTCTGGTGATTCAACTACTGAATTATGTATTTCTGTTTACCTTTCTCTATGTCATCTGTTTGAACTGTGCATATAACGGTCACTACAAAAGTCACTGTTAGCTGTACCCTGTTTATCTATAAAAGAGAGAGATGAAAGCTGAACGGGGTTTGACTTCATTTGGTTTAGTAAAAACCCTGCTGATGCCAGGTCTTGCTTCAGGAAGGAAAACAGATAGGCAATTTGGCTGCACAGTGATAGCTAAGGCAACAATCCTGATTATTTTCTTGCATAGTGTGAACAATACTTATCAATTAATGAACAGTTAGTGACTTTGTAGGATTTGAAGGCACTTAGTATACACATGTTTATGACTTAAGCCTGACAGACATGCCTAATGAAATGAACATTGCAGAAAGTCCCAACTGCAGGACCTGAAATTGCACTAAATAATTAAACACAACTGACTGTGCAACCCTGATGGGCAAACAAATACAACCAACAGCTTTATTCTGTTCCAGTGCTGGTCCCTTTGTGTCCCTGTTGCTGACTGTATTGATTATTATTGTGTTACCAGTTGTCACTCATGTTGAGGTCAATGCTCGTTAATAATGCCTAATGGTCAGAGAGTAATATCTTTTGTGTGTGTGTGTGTGTTGTTGTATCTTCTCCGTACCTCCAGGATGACATCAGTCCTGGAAAGACAGCGTCCCCTGCAGAAGCTGACCTCTACGTTGTCAAGCCGACAGTCTCCCTTGGTGATGTTTCTGACCTGCACATAGCGACGACACTCCAGCTCAGGCTCGCCTGACGGAGAACACACAGAGGAGGAAGAGGAGGGAGGAAAAGGGGCAATATGAGATAGGACAGAGTATGTGGGGAATACACAGTGCAAGTAAAAGGAGATGATTAAGTATTTTTTTGTATTTGCATTAAAAATGAGGAGGGAAAAAGATAAAAAGGAAGAGACAGCCAGAGAGTTCCTTCCAGAGAGCACAGTGACATTGCCATGCTCCCTCACAGCATGTGACATTTCCTCCACTGGGAGGAAGATTAAGGCCCCAATGTAGGTTAAGTAATGTAATCTCTCACTAATTGGGGACTGCAGCACTTGGTTTTTGGCCTCATATAAAATGAACTATAGAACATTCAAATCCAATGAATGTATGTTTATAATGTGAATGTGTTTTTCTTTTGTCCGGCTGTATGTTGTACTAACCTGGGAACTGCTTTCTGCAGACTGGACAGCAGCTGCCTGGTTCCTCCACCTTGACCTCCCCCTGAGAGAGATAACCCATAGATGAGTTGTCTATTTATCATTGTTTTGATCACAACAGATTGGTCCATAATACAACAAGTGATGAACAAAAAAAAAATCCAAAATAATCTACAGCACCCTGTCAACACTCACAATCAATTCATGGGCAGTTATACATAGTTTGTCATACATTTCATTAAATATGTGACAGTGACTGATTGTATATACAGTACACATTCTTCAAAAGGAAAACAACCAAAATACAAAACACACACCTTAGAATTAGCAGGGGAAGTGAAAA